TTACCTTAATTTCATCTGCAAAGACCCTGTTTCTAAATAAGTTCACATTCATGGTTGCTCAGGGTTTGGACTTGGACATATCTTTGGTGGTGGGGGACTGCAGTTATACTGCAATTGGCTCAGGGGTAATGAACCTGCTTGCCAATGCAGGAGATTCAGATTTGATCCCTGGGTCAGGAAGATCCCCTGGAGGTGGAAATGGCAACTTGCTCCAGTATTCTTGCCTGGGAAATCCCATGGACAGAGGAGCATGGCAGACTGCAGTCCATAGTGTTGCAAAAGTCTGACACAGCTTAGCGACTGAGCATGCACACAGTTCTACCGACTACAGTCAGTGGAAGAGGATGTTTGCTTGCAGAACATAAACTGATGGGGTCTGAGCCCTGTAGAGCTGGTGGGACTGCCCTGCATGTATCGAGTATCTGTTCCTGCTCCTCAGGCACAGAACCCAAAAGATGGGGGCATCAGAGAAAAAGATGTAGGTGAAGGACAGATAATGAGAAGAACAGAGGTTGATCTCACGTGCCCCAGAGACGCTGCCCCACTAGCTGAGCTTTGTTTCCTGCTTCAACAGAAACCTGATGTACCCACCCTGCTCTCAGAATGGCAGCCACTGGGATTGATCTGCCTGAAATATATTTTAAAAATAGGTCAAAATTAAGGCATGGCTAGGGTTTGGGTCTGAGCCTGCCAGTGTGCTGTGCCTCAAGCACAGCATGACGTGGTGTAGTCCTGGAACGGTCATACATTCCAGGAAGTGACCAATAGCCGGGAAACAACTAGGGACTCCGAAGCAAATTGCAAAAGTTGGCCTGAGGTCACTGCTTCAGCCAGAGAATAGAGCAAAGGCCAGTCTGGGTCACAGTTCAGAGGAAAGGGGAGGGTAATGCCCAGGATCTGTGCATGGCTGTATTCTCAAAGGCCTGGAAGAGGACTCAGCCCATCAGAGGTGTTGAGTTAGGGTTTGCTGAGTGAATAAATGATTCTACAGACATGGACGCAAGGAAGGAGAAGGGGCCTGCAGTTTCTGACTCTCCAGTTCTTTCTTCCTGCATATCCCAGAACCATCTCAAACCATTCTGGGGGACTTCCCTGGTGGTCCAGTGGTTAAGACTCTGCACTTCCAGTACAAGGGGCACAGGTTCGATCTCTGGTTGGGGGAGTAAAATCCCACATGTGCCTTGGCTCCGCCAAAAAAAAAATTCTGATTGCCCCCCACTTTGGCTTCCCCTTGGGCCAAGAGCAGTCTCCTGATGATGCCTGCCTCACAGGGTGGTTGTGAAAGACAGTGAGATAATGCTTGCGAACTTCTAAGATGTGAGTTGTCTTTGCTACCTTCAGATCTTTCCCTCATCATGAGAGTTGGAGATCACTGTTGCCATTCCTTTGCTGATTAAACAGTGTTAAGCTAGACATCCAGGAAATCTGCACTATTATTAGACAGGAGGTGATGTCACTCTTCCAGCTTGTCTTGGAAGACCAGAATCTCGGCTTCATCCTCGGCCAGCACCTCATATCCCCTTCCTGTATCACTAAGCTGAGCAGGGCCTGGGAGGCCCAACTTGACTGATGTTGTCCCCTGTCCCCCCCATGCTGACCTACCACCTCCTGATGGCGGAGCAAATCAGGAACCACACCATCAGCTCCTGTGGGTAAGAGGTCAAAGGAGGCACTATGCTACTGTCTTTCCCAGGGGGTGGCTGCAAATAACGGAGATTTCCGGAGCTGCTACTTCAGCCTTCCTCTTCTGCTCCCTAGTGTTTATAGTGGAGGGACCTGGAGGAGGACACCTAGACCCAGCCCAGCCTTCCTCTGTGTTATCACATTTCAGCATCTGGAGCAGAATCAGGCTTTCAGTTTGCAAATATGTTTTGTCCATATAATGTCTTTTAAATTTAAAAGTTAATTGCCATCACTTTCAAAGCAGATTTCACATAAGAATCTGGATGTCTAGCACTTCTTGAAAATTTAGAAGATCTGACATTTTTTGCATGGCAGCCAACGACCAAGTAGTAACCCCCAGGAGACAGTCCAGTCCTGCATTCTACATTAGTCCACCATCTAGGCTGTTCAGATTGTTTGCATACACGTTTCTATGATTGACTGCTAAAGAAAGGCAAATGAAGTCAATGTGAATAAAGGCCAGAAACAGACCCTTGTATCTAGGAATTTATGATAAAAGACATTTCAGATCTGTGGGAGGGATTGTATTATTCAGTTAATGGTGCTGATCAATTATACTTCAATTAAAAAAAAGATAGTGGTGCTGGATCATAGAGCTGTCCAACTGGAATAAAATAAAGTCTGATCCTTAAACATAAAAAACAAAACTGTAAAAATATTGGGGAAAAGAAATAGGAGATTTTTGTGATCTTGAAATGGAGAAACCCATATAAGAAAAGGTTAATATACTTGGTTACATAAAAATTTTAAATATTTATGAAAAATAATGCCTTTTAAAAATTGAGAAAAAGTAAATGACAGGCTGGGAGAAAACATTTGCAACACCTAAAACAGACATAAGGTACTGTCAACTGAAAAAAAAAAAATGACCTAAAAGTTGAGAATTATGTTTTTATTGAGCAGACTTACTGAGGACTTAAGCCCCAGGCTACAGTCTCCCTTAAAACTCTGAGGGACTGTTCCAAAGAGGTGAAGGAGGAGCCAGGATATAAAGGAGTTTTTGCAAAAAAGAAACCACAAATAAGTAAAAGGTAGTTGAACATCAAAAGATTAGTGTCAATTAGAGAAAAAACCTCTCTCAAATTAATGGACTTAGCACTTTTCTATGTGTAGGAAGATGTAAGAGTCTGGGCTTATTGAAATTATTCTCTTGATACGCATCTTAACTAGGAACCGGTATCCTGTTTTTCTCCATCCTAAATCTCAGGGTGTACAGTCGTGGGCGGCTGCAGTGGCTGATGACGTGATGGCCACGGCATCCTTTATTTACTGATATGTCAGGGGACATTCTTTGTCCACAGTACCTAATTTTTAAAGGGGTGCTTGCAAGTTAACAATGAGAAGAGCAACCAGTAGGAAAGGAGCAGATGTTAATGGTGGACGGAAAACAAGCAGCTGTACCCTGGTGCAACTGTGGTGGGATGGAAGCAAGTCAGACTTGTCATCCAATCAGGGCTGTCCATTCAAATAAAACAGATTCAAGTTGTGTGAGCGTTTTGTTTCTCCTGCCATGCATGTGGGAGAAGAGGCAAATGCCTAGTGATGCTGTCTTGTTTTAACAGAAACCTGACTGATAAGGAAGTCCAGTAGTGGTCGTGTTCTATATGGAACAGCAGTATTCATTTCCAGGGGCTGTCATAACCCACTGGGCGGCACAGAAATTTGTTATGTCACAGTTCTGGGGTCACATGTCTGAGATCAAGATGTCATCAGGGTTGATTCCCTCTGACGGCTTGGGGGAGAATCTCTTCTGGTGGCCTCAGATGGTCCTTGCTTGTAGGTGACAGTCCCTCTATGTCTTCTCATTGTCTTCCCTCTGTGTGTGTCTGTCTCTGGGTCCAAATGTCCCCTTAGCATAGTAGATTAGGGCCCATCCTCAATGACCTCACTTTAACTTGATCATCTGCAGAGACCCTATTTCCAAATAAGGTCACATTCACAGGTATGGGGTGGAGGGATTAGGACTTCAGCTTCTTTGGGGTGACACAGTAAGTTCAGCCCATATAGCATCAGCTAAGAGATGCAGGTTCGATCCCTGGATGGGAAAGATTCCCTGGAGAAGGGAATGGCTACCCACTCCAGTATTCTTGCCTGGGAAATCCCATGAACAGAAGAGCCTGGCAGGTACCGTCCACAGGGTCAAAAAGAGTCAGACCTGACTGAGCCACTAAACAACAATCAGAATGACAGATTTTGTTTGTTTGTTTGTTTGTTTTTGTTTTCTTGGGTTTTTTTGGTCACACGATGTATAGGATCTTAGGTTTTTTTCCGACCAGGGATCGAACCTATGCCCCCTGTAGTGGGAGCACAGATTCTCAACCACTGGACCACCAGGGAAGCCCCAGAATGACAGTTTTTTAGGAGGTAGTTTTTAAGGATGTATGGAAACAATGTCCAAAGCCTTAGAACGCTGCTCCCCCCACCCCATTCAAATAACACAGGCAGTTTTACTTGAACAGAAAACTGAAGAAATGAGTACCAGTTACATTCTTACAAATCTTCAATATCAATTCTTGAGAAAGATTTTAATTTAATACCTTGTCCAGCTAGATTATTTGGGTTAGTTTTTTTGTTTGTTTTTTGACGGAATCCTAACCCCTGGACTGCCAGGGAAGTCCCCTTGGCTTCCTCTTATAATACAGAACAGTGTCTCTCCCTCTACACACACAGGAGGAAGGGAATGTTGCCATATCTTCCTGCGGCTCCTTTTGTTCAATATTAAGACTTGCATTTTTTAAGGCTAATCTCTGGAATTCCATTATGAGGCCTCCAGAACTCAATTTTACCAGGAAAAATAAATGAAGAATGGGCTAAAGATGATTCGACATAACAGTCAAGTAAGGTGGTAGTGGTTTAGTCGCTCAGTCGTGTCCGACTTGCAACCCCATGAACTGTAGCCTGCCAGGGTCCTCTGTCCATGGGATTCTCCAGGCAAGAATACTGAAGTGGGTTGCCATTTCTTTCTCCTGGGGATCTTCTTGACCCAGGCATCGAACCCAGGTCTCCTGCATTGAAGGCAGATTCTTTACCATCTGAGCTACAAGTGGCGGAGTGAAGTAAAGATCTGTAGCATTTCCCGCCCCCCCACAGACTCAAGCATGTAAACTTGATATGTAACTTTGAAGGAGTCCCTTGAGCTTCAAGCTCACCTGTAAATTGGGATGATAATCCAATTGTGATCAGGTTTGTGAGAGAGGATGGGTATGGGGGAGGGGCTTGTTCTCCATCCAGTTTAGGGAACTTTCAGAGTTCAGTCTCACTCAGAATGACCAGTCAAACTAAAGCAAGTCCCTTCCTCAAAAAAAAAAAAAAAAAAAATGATTTGGAGGCAGGAAAGCAGCCAATGTGGGCAAGTCCCATCCAGGTCTGTGTTGGACTGGGCCCTCCCTCCCGGCCTCTGCCACCCGTGTGCCCACAAAGGTTCAGTGCCCTCTGTTCACATGCCCACCCATGTGGCATTCCAAGCCACAGGCTGGTCCTGGAGCCCTGGGTCAGGATACAGTCAGCCCTTCAAGGTTGAGCGCCCCTTGGTTCTCTTCCTGCTCCTGGGGTGGTTCTGGAGTGGAGTGGAGAGCAACTCTGGTTTTGAAACACACTTTGCTGTGGTCAGAACACTTAACAAAGTGTGTTAAGTGATCCTACCCCTTAACAAACTTGAAGTGCATTGTTGACTGTAGACAGAAAGTTGTATAGCTGATGTCTAGGATTTAATCATCTTGCATAGTCAAAACTTTATACCCCTTCAATGGTAGCTCCCCATTTCCCCCTCCCCCCAACCCCTGGCAACCACCATTCTATCTCTGCTTTTGTATGTTTGACTGTTTTACGTTTTGGGGTTTTTTGGCCATGCTATGAGCATGTGGTGATTGCAGCCATGAAATTAAAAGACGCTTACTCCTTGGAAGGAAAGTTATGACCAACCTAGACAGCATATTAAAAAGCAAAGACATTACTTTGTCAACAAAAGTCCATCTAGTCAAGGCTATGGTTTTTCCAGTGGTCATGTATGAATGTGAGAGTTGGACTGTAAAGAAAGCTGAGCGCCAAATAACTGATGCTTTCGAACTGTGGTGTTGGAGAAGACTCTTGAGAGTCCCTTGGACTGTGAGGAGATCCAACCAGTCCATCCTAAAGGAGATCAGTCCTGGGTGTTCATTGGCAGGACTGATGTTGAAGCTGAAACTCCAATACTTTGGCCACCTGATGCGAAGAGCTGACTCATTGGAAAAAGACCCTGATGCTGGGAAAGATTGAGGGCAGGAAGAGAAGGGGACAACAGAGGATGAGATGGTTGGATGGCATCACCAACTCAATGGACATGGGTTTGGATGGGCTCTGGGAGTTGGTGATGGACAGGGAGGCCTGGTGTGCTGTGGTTTATGGGGTCACAAAGAATCGGACATGACTGAGCGACTGAACTGAACTGATGAGCATGTGGGATCTTAGTTCTCTAACCAGGGATTGAACCCAAACCCCTATCATTGCAAAGAACCCACACCCCTGCCTTGCAGAGCTCATTCTTAAACACTGAACCCTTAGGGAAGTCCTAAGGGACTGCAATACACCAGGCCTCCCTGTCCATTGCCAACTCCCGGAGTTTACTGAAACTCATGTCCATTGAGTTGGTGATGCCATCCAACCATCTCATCCTCTGTCGTCCCCTTCTCCTCCTGCCTTCAACCTTTCCCAGCATCAGGGTCTTTTCCAGTGAGTCAGTTCTTCACATCAGGTGGCCAAAATATTGGAGTTTCAGCTTCAGCATCAGTCAGCTTCAGCTTCCAATGAATATTCAGGACTGATTTCCTTTAGGATGGACTGGTTGGATCTCCTTGCTATCCAAGGGACACTCAAGAGTCTTCTCCAACACCACAATTCAAAAGCATCAGTTCTTCAACACTCTTTTATAGTCCAACTCTCACATCCATACATGACTACTGGAAAAACCATAGCTTTGACTAGACGGACCTTTGTTGGCAAAGTAGTGTCCCTGCTTTTTAATATGCTGTCTAGATTGATCACAGCTTTTCTTCCAAGGAGCAAAATCTTTTAATTTCATGGCTGCAGTCATCATCTGCAGTGATTTTGGAGCCCAAGAAAATGAAGTCTGTCACTGTTTCCACTGTTTCCCCATCTATTTACCATGAAGTGATGGGACCAGATGCCATGATCTTTCTGAATGTTGAGTTTTAAGTCAACGTTTTCACTCTCCTTTTTCTTTCACCAAGAGGCTCTTTAGCTCTTCTTTGCTTTCTGCCATAAGGGTGGTGTCATCTGCATATCTGAGATTATTGATATTTCTCCCGGCAATCTTGATTCCAGCTTGTGCTTCTTCCAGCCCAGCATTTCTCATGATGTGCTCTGCATATAAGTTAAATAAGCAGGGTGACAATATACAGCCTTGACGTACTCCTTTTCCTATTTGGAACCAGTCTGTTGTTCCATGTCCAGTTCTAACTGTTGCTTCCTGACCTGCATACAGATTTCTCAAGAGGCAGGTCAGGTGATCTGGTATTCTCATCTTTTGAAGAATTTTCCACAGTTTGTTGTCATCCACACAGTAAAAGGTTTTGGCGTAGTCAATAAAGCAGAAGTAGATGTTTTTCTGGAACTCTCTTGCTTTTCTGATGATCCAACAGATGTTGGCAATTTGATCTCTGGTTCCTCTGCCTTTTCTAAATCCAGCTTGAACATCGCTGGAAGTTCATATTTTGCATATTAACCCCTTATCAGATATATGGTTTGCAAATATAATATTTTGAGAGAAGATGGGAGACTCAGATTGATGCTTTAGTGACTATTTTCTACCTACAACTTTGTCAAAGCTAGCCTTATATTTCGGAGAAGGCAATGGCACCCCACTCCAGTACTCTTGCCTGGAAAATCCCATAGACGGAGGAGGTTGGTAGGCTGCAGTCCATGGGGTCGCTAAGAGTCGGACACGACTGAGCAACTTCACTTTCACTTTTCACTTTTGTGCATTGGAGAAGGAAATGGCAACCCACTCCAGTGTTCTTGCCTGGAGAATCCCAGGGACAGAGGAGCCTGGTGGGCTGCCGTCTATGGGGTTGCACAGAGTCAGACACAACTGAAGTGACTTAGCAGCAGCTGCAGCAGCAGCCTTATATTGTGGAATAGAATTTGCTTTTTTTTTCAGCTCTAGCGGAAGAAGAAACATTTTCTTTTGTTATCTATTCCCAGTAGTTTTTTGAGGCTACACATTGGAATGTCATTAGTTGGCACTGAGACCAGAAGGGGGAGGTGTCTGAGAAGCTCAGCTTTAAACTCTTGCTTCCAATTTATTCTGCAGGCTTTCTGGACATGTGTGCCACTGACAATTAAAGCATGGTTCACCAAGGTGAGCTTCAACACTAAAGTAACTTCAACCAGTTACCTCTCCACAGTTATTTTAGCCTTTTCAGATTTGGTGGCTTTGGGTTGTGGAATATTGAGGAGAAACGTTTTAGGGGGAGAGGAGCTGTTTTTGAATGTGTGATTTACACATCTTTCCTTTGTAGAATTTTTATAGAAATTGATTTGAAACCTGAGCTACCTTGAAATGTAAAAATAAGAACCCTCTGTTGTTCAAAAGTTAGCCAACGCAGAATAGGTTTGTCCCCAGAATCTTCTTCTGAATTTTGTTCAGAAGTCTGTTCCTTTGAATTAGTGAAATTGGTTTCTGTTTTCGGTTCCTAGTTCCACTTGATTGCTGTTATCTTGGCACTACTCTTTGTTTACCCAAGTTCTGACATTTTTACCCCAGAATTAATTACCCCAGATGGTCTGCTCTGCTGTGTTTTCCAAGCAAACAAAGTGAGCAGGAAATATGAACTTCCTGAGCCAGCTGGCTTTCCGCTTTAATATGAGGCTTTGCCTTTTACAAGCATGTTTATCTTATGTCTAATTTTCTTATAATTAACTATATATATAATGTTTTATTTATATATATATACACACACACACACATGTGCAAGTATATAGGTTAGATCTAATTCTATTTTCTCTTTTTTTCCTTTTGAAATTGGGTCCTGATATTCTGCCTTTTGCTTCCCCAAGGCTCCTTTGTAGAATCTTCCTGTTCTATTCAATTTGAACTTCTGCATCCTTTCTGTCAAGGAGCTCCTTGCTCAGAATAACTTCTCCACACCTGGAACTTTGGTCTAGGATTTCTTTTCACTTTTAGACACTTCCCTCGTCATGACTAGCAGATGAGGTCTTATCAGCTTTCCCCCTTGGGTTTTGCACAGCCAGGTCATCCAGTGACCAGATGTTTGCCTCTCTCCCCTCCCCCCATACCCTCTCAGCACTGAATATACAGTTCTTTGGAGGATGTCATACCCTCTCTAGGCCTTTCTCCTGGTGCAGTGACAGGAATCCTGGAAATGGCTGCCTTGAATGCAGGGGCCACTAAGATCTTGCCTCAACACTTTACCCAGATCACCAGTAATAACCCACCAGCCTCCCAGCCCTGAAACACTGCCTCTGCCGTGAGTGGAGTGGAGGGAGCCAGTCCTGATGCCTGGAAGCAGCCACCTTTCCTCCTCTCCAGACGCAGGTACTCCCTGTATCAGGAAGAGAGCCTCCTGGAAGCTGATCAGTCTTGGCTTTCCCTCTTTCTTCTCTTCTCACCCACCCCCTTCTCTAGTCTATCACTTTCATTCATTCATTGTACACTTATAAACACCAACTATGTGCCTGCAGTGTGCTAGATTACCATCAAGTCAGCAGTCATGGTAGAGAGTGCTAAATGCTGAAATAGGGCACAAAGCAAAGGTTTGTTTTTTGCTTTTTTTTTTTTTAATATTATTGTTGTTCAATTGCTAAGTCATATCTGACTCTTTGCAACCCCATGGAATATAGCACACCAGGCTTCCCTGTCCTTCACTATTTCCCTGAGTTTGCTCAAACTCACGTCCATTGTTGGTGATGCTCTTTAACCATCTCATCCTCTACTGCCCCCTTCCCCTTTTGCCTTCAATCTTTCCCACCATCCAGGTCTTTTCCAATAATTTGTTTATTTACTTTTGGCTGTGCTGGGTCTTCATGGCTGTACAGGCTTTCCTCTGTTTGTAGCGAGAGAAGGCCACTCTTTAGTTGCAGTATGCAGGCTTCTCATTGCTGTGTCTTTTCTTGTTGCTGAGCACGGGCATCCTGGATCAGGGATCAAACCTGTGTCTCCTTTGTTGGCAGGCAGATTCTTTAGCACTGAGCCATCAGGGAAGCCAGTTAATTTTATATTTTTATCGTACCAGGTGGCATGCAGCATCTTAGCTCCCCGACCAGAAAGCAAACCTGCCTCCCTGCAGTGGAAGTGTGGAGTCTTAACCATTGGACCACCATCAAAGTCCCAGTAAAGACTTAAAAATCTGTAAAAGGAAGGTCGGTGAGGGAGCCACACAAAAGTCACTTCAGCTGAATTTTGACAGACTGTTTGCAGTTCAGCAGTGAAGTCTCCATTCTGCCTCAATTGCATCAGAGGACTTCTAGCAGGGGAAGTAGACTTGGTCAGATCCTCAGTAGAAAACCCTGGCAGACACCACCTTAAGGTTGTGATCAAATAAACATCCCAGTGTGGGTACTGGTACTGGTGCCTCTTGGTATGATGCACTGAGAACACAGCAACATTTCTGTGACA